GTCAACAAATATCCAGTATTGACAATGTGTGGGACACATTGTCTGAAATACACACACACACACAAACACAAGGTGTTGACAGTGTGTAGCACTGTAGGTAAAATTATGCCTGGTCATGCAGCCATCCGTGTCGTTATATTTTATGTGACACAGATATAATGAGACCATCACCACCCTGGACTAGCCTCGGAAGTGTGTCGCACTACAGGTATACCTGTACACTTATTAACACTTAAACGTTTGGATATAAGTAGTTTTTATATTGATAACAGCTGACATTCAGGCAAAATAGCCATATACAGGTGAGAATCTGGTGAGTATATATATATATTATCCGGAAGTTTGACTGCGTCTGTTTAGCAGGTAATTTCCTAAGGGGAATTCCTTATAGACTGGGTATATATACTCGGCATAGAGTGGTCATACCAGATCTGGAGTAGGCAGGGTACACTGGGATACACCGTATACCTTAATGAATGGTCAGTACAGCAGAGAGATATATATATATCGTATACCTTAATGAATGGTCAGTGTAGCAGAGATATATATATATATCTCCGGGTGGTCATTTGTAGGTGTATTGACCACACTTAGTATTTATGTCTCCGTATTGTGGTGCATTTAATTACCTGTGTGCTCTCAGGTAGCTTTGTGTGTTGTCAGTAAATTGTTAAACAATGGATGTTAGATCAGGGTAACGTTGTAAAACAATGGATGTTAGATCAGGGTAACGTTGTAAAACAATGGATGTTAGATCAGGGTAACGTTGTAAAACAATGGATGTTAGATCATGATCAGGGTACCATAGACTAGACTAGCTGAGCTGATCTTATGAAATTTTCAGGAAGCTACAAATGTTATGACAAAACCTCATGAATACCAGGAAGTGCATGATACAAATAGTTTTTAATCTGCTGAAGCGGATGATTTTAATCTTTTAAAATATTCAACAGAAATTTCCAAAGACCCGTTCAACAATGTATGACACAGTTATTTCACAATTGTATGGTTATTATGGATAATTATTATTCTAACCAGGTCTTCTGTTGATGAGGTATCATGAGTATAGGTGAACTATTTATAGGAGGATTCTATACCAGGTAATGTATGGAGGTATTTGTGAAGTGTAAAATAGCTTTGTCGTTTGTGGAATTTCTGATGTAGGTCATCAGGATGTTTATCATCAGCGTGGCACACATACAGCCTCCGTACTGAAGACTTCCTGTAAATAAGATGTCCTGTTAATGGAGGCAGTGAAACAGGGATGTCCACCAATTAGGCAAAACAAATGATTTCTTTGATTTCAGGTCTCAAAAATTCAGTGTATAGGTAGACTGGTAAGCATGAGAGCTTTTATATTGAAACTTATATTTACAATGATTATGAAGTGACAGACTTAACAAGTGTTTGTTCAAAATAATCAAAGATAAAGAGCAGGGTTAGCACTAAAATCTAGGGGACATGTAGGACCAGGGTCAGCACTATAATCTAGGGGACATGTAGGACCAGGGTCAGCACTATAATATAGGGGACATGTAGGACCAGGGACAGCACTATAATCAAGGGGACATGTAGGACCAGGGTCAACACTATAATCTAGGGGATATGTAGGACCAGGGTTAGCACTACAATCTAGGGGACATGTAGGACCAGGGTCAGCACTATAATCAAGGGGACATGTAGGACCAGGGTCAACACTATAATCTAGGGGATATGTAGGACCAGGGTTAGCACTACAATCTCGGGGACATGTAGGACCAGGGTCAGCACTATAATTTAGGGGACATGTAGGACCAGGGTCAGCACTATAATATAGGGGACATGTAGGACCAGGGACAGCACTATAATCAAGGGGACATGTAGGACCAGGGTCAACACTATAATCTAGGGGATATGTAGGACCAGGGTTAGCACTACAATCTCGGGGACATGTAGGACCAGGGTCAGCACTATAATTTAGGGGACATGTAGGACCAGGGTCAGCACTATAATATAGGGGACATGTAGGACCAGGGACAGCACTATAATCAAGGGGACATGTAGGACCAGGGTCAACACTATAATCTAGGGGATATGTAGGACCAGGGTTAGCACTACAATCTCGGGGACATGTAGGACCAGGGTCAGCACTATAATTTAGGGGACATGTAGGACCAGGGTCAGCACTATAATATAGGGGACATGTAGGACCAGGGACAGCACTATAATCAAGGGGACATGTAGGACCAGGGTCAACACTATAATCTAGGGGATATGTAGGACCAGGGTTAGCACTACAATCTAGGGGACATGTAGGACCAGGGTCAGCACTATAATATAGGGGACATGTAGGACCAGGGTTAGCACTATAATCTAGGGGATATGAAGGACCAGGGTCAGCACTATAATCTAGGGGACATGAAGGACCAGTGTCAGCACTATAATCAGGGGATGTAATGGACCAGGGTTAGCACTGTAATCTAGGGACATGTAGGACCAGGGTTAGCACTATAATCTAGGGGACATGTAGGACCAGGGTTAGCACTATAAGCTAGGGGATGTAATGGACCAAGGTCAGCACTATAATATAGGGGATGTAATGGACCAGGGTCAGCACTATAATCTAGGGGAAATGTAGGACTAGGGTCAGCACTATAATCTAGTGGACATGTAGGACCAGTGTCAGCACTATAATCCAGGGGATGTAATGGACCAAGGTCAGCACTATAATCTAGGGGATGTAATGGACCAGTGTCAGCACTATAATCTAGGGGATGTAATGGACCAGGGTTAGCACTATAATCTAGGGGGCATGTAGGACCAGGGATAGCACTATAATCTAAGGGACATGTAGAACCAGGGTCAGCACTTTAATCTAGGGGACATGTAGGACCAGGGTCAGCACTATAATATAGGGGACATGTAGGACCAGGGACAGCACTATAATCAAGGGGACATGTAGGACCAGGGTCAACACTATAATCTAGGGGATATGTAGGACCAGGGTTAGCACTACAATCTCGGGGACATGTAGGACCAGGGTCAGCACTATAATCTAGGGGACATGAAGGACCAGTGTCAGCACTATAATCAGGGGATGTAATGGACCAAGGTCAGCACTCTAATCTAGCGGACATGCAGGAACAGGGTCAGCACTTTAATCTAGGGGACATGTAGGACCATTGTCAGCACTATAATATAGGGGACATGTAGGACCAGGGTTAGCACTATATTCTAGGGGACATGTAGGTTATGGAGAGCTGTAACAAAATTGTTCTGTTTTTCCAGTACAGGAGATGTTTCAGTTCTCTGTTTGTGACTATTTTAAAGTAGCAGTTTAACTTTACCTTAAGTAATAACTGAATTGCAGGTTAAACGTTGTTTCTATTTGACAGTTGTGGACTGTTAAACAAGTCTCCAGTTCCAGACTATGAGTTTCTGGGTTTTTTTTGTACCAGGAAGTGTGTCTTGGTTTGATAATCTCTTTACATAACTTTAGGTATATATGGAGTAATGCTGCATGTCTGCCCAGTACCTTGCAAGCAACCATGTTCTGTAACCCATCCACTTCCTAGTTTTGGCTATACAGAATAATTTAAGTATTTGGTAAGAAATAAAAAGGGTCTGTGATTCCTGCTTCCGTAATGACATATTGAAGTTGTCATAAATTCACACTCAGCTTTGGATATCACATAGTGTAAAATATCAAAATCCATATGAAAATGCATGCCGGTGTATGTGGAAACAGCAAACCATGCGATAGCCTGGAGCTCTGGTTACATATGTACCTGACATATAAATATACCATGCGCTAGCGGGTTGTGGAATGATGTCCAAAGTGTACATGATTGAAAGTAATTTGGTTCCATGAAAGAACAATAAATTGACAATTTTGATATCAATTTTAATTTATTTCCATCATGTTTTATATAGAATCGATATAAAAGAGATAAATGTCATTGTGCTAATTATATTCCTCTGCAAAAAGTTCCATTTTATTTCAAGGAAGACAACTCTCACCAGGATCAAAGGGATTGTAAAACGCAACATAAATTAATTATAAAGTCATTGTGTATATTTTGTTCAATTTCTCACTCTTTATCTATCAAACGTTGTGTACTGTTTGCTTTTAACTTTTAGATAATCACTTTTATCTGTACAATTTCAATAAAAAAAACACTTTGTGTAATGTGTTTTATATATTTTGTGAAAAATAAAATATTTGTAGGGTTAATTAGCAATGCTTCTTTTCATTTTGTATTGTTGGTATTGTTCCGAACTATGCCACACCCCAAAAAAGTGGAAAATGTTAAATTGGCAAAACTCAATTTTTGGGTATTTTTTCTGAAAAAAAGTCCCGTACTATCAGAATGCTTCGATTTTCATTTTGTGAAAGTTTCAACTAACTGGTTAATAGCAAAAGTATGGAGCCTCCTTAAGGAATCTGTCCATGTCTGCCGTGAAGTGTAGATGGCTTGTTAACTGGTGTATACCAGTAAATGTATATTTCACACCATTGACTGTTGGTGACAGCTTGTGCTGGACTCACATTTTGTGCTAAAATAATTATATAAATAATAATTTTCATGCTAGAGGCTCATTGGAGGAAAAATCACATGTCTGTTAAAAGAGATAAAAGCTGATAATAGAGATTTTCTCAGCTGAAAGTATGATATCAGGGCTATAATGAATGCCTTTCTGACAGACATCATTGATGAAGCACATTCTAATCATCTGAGGGTGACAGCTCAAAATACTCATCATCCCTGGTGAACTCGTACATGTTAGGACATGTACTTCAAACACACTTAAATGGTATCAGCCAGGGGCATGATGTTCAGTATTTGTTCCTACATATTAGTGGTTAATTATCTAAGTTTGAGGGTCATGTGTCCAACAATACTTCCTGTTAATACTTCATTATTACACAACATTGCAAGTGGGTTTTACAATATTTAATGCTTTTTTAAGTACTTCATGAACAAATTTGTAAAAAAATAAATTTTCCATTTCCTTGACAGAGTCAAAGAGAGGAATCACTGAGGAAGTTTACCAACATGCAAAATGCCGCGAACCACCAGTCACCAGGTAAATGTTATAGATATTACACTGGTTATAAGGAAATGTAAACTTTTAGATTTTACACTGGTCATAAGGAAGTGTAAACATTTTAGATATTACACTGGTCATAAGGAAGTGTAAATGTTATAGATACTACACTGGTCATAAGGAAGTGTAAATGTTTTAGATATTACACTGGTCATAAGGAAGTGTAAATGTTATAGATACTACACTGGTCATAAGGAAGTGTAAATGTTTTAGATATTACACTGATCATAAGGAAGTGTATATGTTTTAGATTTTACATTGGTCATAAGGAAGTGTAAACACTTCAGATATTACACTGGTCATTAGGTAGTGTAAGCACTATAGATTTTACACTTGTCACCAGGACAGGAAGTGTAAGCACTATAGATTTTACACTTGTCAAAAGGAAGTATAAACATGGATTTTACACTGGTTTTAAGGAAGTGTAAACATTATGGATTTTACACTTATCACCAGGACAGGAAGTGTAAATGTTATAGATATTACACTGGTCATAAGGAAGTGTAAAAGTTTTAGATATTACACTGGTCATAAAGAAGTGTAAATGTTTTAGATATAACACTGATCATAAGGCAGTGTTAAAGTTTTAGATATTACACTGGTCATAAGGAAGTGTAAATGTTTTAGATATTACACTGGTCATAAGGAAGTGTAAACATTATCGATTTTACACTTATCACCAGGACAGGAAGTGTAAATGTTATAGATATTACACTGGTCATAAGGAAGTGTAAAAGTTTTAGATATTACACTGGTCATAAAGAAGTGTAAATGTTTTAGATATTACACTGGTCATAAGGAGGTGTAAATGTTTTAGATATTACACTGATCATAAGGAAGTGTAAATGTTTTTGATATTACACTGATCATAAGGAAGTGTAAATGTTATAGATACTACACTGGTTATAAGGAAGTGTAAACATTTTAGATTTTACACTGGCCATAAGGAAGTGTAAACATTTTAGTTTTTACACTGGTTATAAGGAAGTGTAAACGTTTTAGATTTTACACTTGTCACGAGGAAGTGTTGACATTTTAGATTTTACACTGGTTATAAGGAAGTGTAAACGTTTTAGTTTCACACTGGTTAAAAGGAGGTGTAAACGTTTTAGATTTCACACTGGTTATAAGGAAGTTTAAAAGTAATGGATTTTACGCTTGTCACCAGGACAGGAAGTGTAAGCACTATAGATATTACAATGGTTATAAGGAAGTGTAAACATTATGGATTTTACACTGGTCATAAGGAAGTGTAAACATTTTAGATTTTACACTGGTTATAAGGAAGTGTAAACATTTTAGATTTTACACTGGTTATAAGTGTAAATGTTTTAGATTTTACACTGGTTATAAGGAAGTGTAAACATTTTTAGCCCACCATCATCTGATGGTGGGCTATTCAAATCACCCTGCGTCCATGGTCCGTGGTCCGTCCGTGGTCCGTGGTCTGTCCGTAAACAATTCTTGTTATCGGTATTTCTCTAGAAGTACCAGAGGGATCTTTCTCAAATTTTATATGCAGGTTCCCCTTGGTCCTTAGCTGTGCAGGGCAACTTTTGAGACTGACCGGATAAACAACATGGCCGACAGGCAGCCATCTTTGATTTTGATATTGAAAGTTTGTTATCGCTATTTCTCAAGAAGTACTAGAGTGATCTTTCTCAAATTTTATATGTAGGTTCCCCTTGGTCCTTAGCTGTGCAGGGCATTTTTTTGAGACTGATCAGATAAACAACATGGCCAACAGGCTGCCATTTTTGATTTTGATAGTGAAAGTTTGTTATCGCTATTTCGTCATAAGGAAGTGTAAACATTTTAGATTTTATGCTGGTTATAAGAAAGTGGAAACATTTTAGATTTTACACTGGTTATAAGTGGAAACATTTTAGATTTTATGCTGGTTAGAAGAAAGGGTAAACATTTTAGATTTTATGCTGGTTAGAAGAAAGGGTAAACATTTTAGATTTTATGCTGGTTAGAAGAAAGGGTAAACATTTTAGATTTTACATTGGTCACCAGGAAGTGTAAATGTTAAGCATTTTACACTGGTCACCAGGAAGTGTAAATGTTATATATTTTACACTGGTCATCAGGAAGTGTGAACATTTTAGATTTTACACTGGTTATAAGTGGAAACATTTTAGATTTTACACTGGTTATAAGTGGAAACATTTTAGATTTTATGCTGGTTAGAAGAAAGGGTAAACATTTTAGATTTTATGCTGGTTATAAGTGTAAACATTTTAGATTTTATGCTGGTTAGAAGAAAGGGTAAACATTTTAGATTTTATGCTGGTTAGAAGAAAGGGTAAACATTTTAGATTTTATGCTGGTTAGAAGAAAGGGTAAACATTTTAGATTTTACACTGGTCATCAGGAAGTGTGAACATTTTAGATTTTACACTGGTCATCAGGAAGTGTGAACATTTTAGATTTTACACTGGTCACCAGGTAGTGTAAATGTTATATATTTTACACTGGTCATCAGGAAGTGTGAACATTTTAGATTTTACACTGGTTATAAGTGGAAACATTTTAGATTTTATGCTGGTTAGAAGAAAGGGTAAACATTTTAGATTTTATGCTGGTTATAAGAAAGTGGAAACATTTTAGATTTTACATTGGTCACCAGGAAGTGTAAATGTTAAGCATTTTACACTGGTCACCAGGTAGTGTAAATGTTATATATTTTACACTGGTCATCAGGAAGTGTGAACATTTTAGATTTTACACTGGTCACCAGGTATTGTAAATGTTATAGATTTTACACTGGTCATCAGGAAGTGTAAACATTTTAGATTTTACATTGGTCACCAGGAAGTGTTAACATTATAGATTTTACACTGGTCACCAGGAAGTGTAAATGTTAAACATTTTACACTGGTCACCAGGTAGTGTAAATGTTATACATTTTACACTGGTCATCAGGTAGTGTGAATGTTTTACATTTTACACTGGTCACCAGGTAGTGTTAATGTTATACATTTTACACTTGTCATCAGGTAGTGTAAGCATTATAGATTTTATACTGGTCACCAGGTAGTGTAAATGTTATATATTTTATACTGGTCACCAGGAAGTGTAAATGTTATGCATTTTACACTGTTCACCAGGTAGTGTTAATGTTATACATTTTACACTGGTCACCAGGTAGTGTTAAGGTTGTACATTTTACACTGGTCACCAGGTAGTGTTAATGTTATACATTTCATACTGGTCACCAGGTAGTGTAAATGTTATGCATTTTACACTGGTCACCAGGTAGTGTAAATGTTATATATTTTACACTGGTCACCAGGTAGTGTTAATGTTATACATTTTACACTGGTCACCAGGTAGTGTTAATGTTGTACATTTTACACTGGTCACCAGGTAGTGTTAATGTTATACATTTAATACTGGTCACCAGGTAGTGTAAATGTTTTACATTTTACACTGGTCACTAGGTAGTGTAAATGTTATATATTTTACACTGGTCACCAGGTAGTGTGAATGTTTTACATTTTACACTGGTCACCAGGTAGTGTAAATGTTATACATTTTACACTGGTCACCAGGTAATGTAAATGTTATATATTTTATACTGGTCACCAGGAAGTGTTAATGTTATATATTTTATACTGGTCACCAGGTAGTGTTGATGTTATATATTTTACACTGGTCATCAGGTAGTGTAAGCATTATAGATTTTATACTGGTCACCAGGAAGTGTAAATGTTATGCATTTTACACTGGTCACCAGGTAGTGTTAATGTTATACATTTTACACTGGTCACCAGGTAGTGTTAATGTTATACATTTTACACTGGTTCGATGTGTGTAGTCTAGAGGATGATGGGGCCCTAGCTGGCTTAGGTTGATACTACGTGTACAGGTGTGAAGTACCCAGGTTCCAGCTGTGATCTTCTTGGTCAGTAAAATCCGGTGGAAATGTAGGGATGGACTTAAGGTGTAGGGTACCACTACATCAGTAAGAGTGCTAGGAAAAGTTCTACTCAGTTGGGTCAGATTGGGTTTTACTTGGTGTCATTACTCCTATTTATAGAAGATGAAGCAACCTAAAACTTTGTTTTTTCCAACTTATCATTTTTTGCTATTTATTTATAATTTCTGGATGAAAATTGTAAATAGTAGGGTTGGCATGGTCAAATTCTTTTGTTTGACTCTCGCAGTTTTCTATTTTATCCCCCCCCCCCCCTTTTTTTTCAAATATTCAAATATCAAACAATAATCATTCTGTAAAATACATTGCAACTTTTGCTTTTAACGGGAGTACATATTTGGAAAGGCTCCAATATTACACAATAGTGGCAGTGCTAGTGATATAGTTAACTTGTTGATGGCCTTTACTGTAATACAGTCCTATGGTGTCATCCCAGGTTAACACAGTAAATCTTATCAAGGACAATTTTGTTGTTTTAGTTGTAGAAGCTTTATTCCCCCTCTCAAGTTAGAAAAAAATCTGATATAACTTTATACCTTAGAAACTTCATGCGAAATTATAGAATGTATGCTAGTATTTTTTCTCCCTTTAAGTTAATTTTTTTAAGAATGTGCACCATTTTTGTTGTGGCTTTCATACATTTGATGACCTTGGTTGCTTTTCTCCTCCTCCTCCTCGTCATGCAATCAGTCACTCCGGAAACACCGGTACCAGACTATGAAGAGGAGTCACCATGGATGCAAATCAATGAGAAACAATTACGTTTCGCCCAGCAGTTTGGAAATGTATTGTCCAGTATTGCAGATATAGGTATACCAGCCTGAGTGGACACTGTCTTACCTCATGTAGCGACCTCTAACTGTTTTGCCTATGACTTCTAAATGTTGTATCTGTGACCTACTTTTTTCTAATTTTGTAGCAGACCTTGATTTGATTTGTATGAGCTGTACTAACATCACTTAAGTAGCTTGTAAGTTTCAGGCCAAGTTTGTATCAAGCTTTCATCAATGAACCTACATAAAAATGTTCACATTTTTCTGAAAATGCTTTGGCAGGTATAATTATATTTTCTCAGAAAAATCATTGGGATTGTATAGTATATTCAGATTTGATAATTATAAAAATATCACTGGTACAAAATTTACTTTAATGTGTGGTGAATTTAGGAAGGCTTGATACAAACTGACATAATAATCTATTAGAGAACTGTTCATCACTTTGGACTAAAACGATATATATGCTGTTGTCTATAATCAGGCGACCATTTCATTATCTGTTCTAACATCCCAAAGATCTATTTAGGTATGAAGGTACATACATTTTTGTTCCTTATGGAAATTAAAATAATTCTCTTAATTTAGTGATTAATAATGATAAAAAATATATTCATGAAAATTAGGTTAGGAATAGGATATTGTTATTACATTTATCCCTTTTTTGCATCATATTTGATATAATTGAAGAAAAAACCCATATATTTTTGTAGAGCAAAGTATTAAGGAATTATATAGGGAAAGGTACCATGTGGATCATATTCTTATCCCTTAACCCTTTCACCCCAATATAACTTTAATAAACTCTACCATGTATTGATCTGGATAAGTCCATTATGGTCTACAGTATGGTGAAAGGGTAAAGTACATCAGTAAGCAAAATCAAAAAAGTGGAATACATTACAGAAAAGAGACGTTAAATTGGAGGGTGTGTTAGGTAATGAAGTTATCAGGTGATACATACTGATTTGTGTGTTAACGCTGGAATCTGCAATGGAATCTGAAACGGCATTGTTGCCATTGGTATTTTTTAATAAACATGTATCTCAGGTATATTATTTTCTTACATAACCGGCATGTAAGATACTTTTCTCATTACATAACCGGCCATGTAAGATACTTTTCCCGTTATATAGTCGGCAATGTAAGATACTTTTCCCATTACATAGTCAGCCATGTAAGATACTTTTCCCGTTATATATTCGACAATGTAAGATGTTTTTTTCCATTACATAGTCTGTCATGTAAGATAGTTTTCCCATTACAAAGTCGGCTTTGTAAGATGGGTTTCCCATTACATAGTCGGCCATGTAAGATACTTTTCCCATTACATAGCCTTTCATGTAAGACAGATTTCCCATTACATAGCCAGCCATGTAAGATAATTTTCCCATTACATAGTCGGCCATGTAAGGTAGTTTTCCCATTACATAGCCGGCAATGTAAGATACTTTTCCCATTACATAGCCAGCCATGTAAGATAGATTTCCCATGTAAGGTAGTTTCTCATTACATAGCCGGCCATGTAAGATACTTTTCCCCATTACATAGCCTGTTATGTAAGACAGTTTTACCATTACATAGTCGGCCATGTAAGGTAGTTTCTCATTACATAGCC